GGGGAGTCACACAGGGTGATAGAGGGGAGTCACACAGGGTGATAGAGGGAGGAAATCCACAACCATCTCTACTGTCTTTAGAGCGTTGAGCTCTAGGTTGTTCAGACCGCACCAGGTCACCAGATGGTCAGTCTCCCACCTGTAGGCGACTTCAGTGTGACAGTTGCTCACAGTATTTCCTTAAATATCAGCTGCAGGAGACACGATGTGAAGTTCATACTAAATCATCAGTACTAAGACTGTTTATTCTCTGGATACAAATACATTACTGTGATTTAATTGTGGTACACAGTAAATTCCCCAGTGTCAAATATGCATTGTTAAAGTATATGGACTCTTTCAGAGTTATTACAACAACGGCAAGAGTAATTACTACCAATTTATCGGCCAGTGTGAAAATAATCAGAGTTAAACTTTTCAGTGTATAATATACAGTGTCAAAGTGCATTGACTATTTCAGAGTTATTACAACAACAGCAAGAGTAAAACGTCCCCCAGTGTTGATGTCATTGTTCACTGCGACAAGTGTTCTCTGGAAAGAACTCTGTACTCTGGTAAGCTCCGCCCCCCTCCTTCTCCTTTCAAACGGATCAGGAGTTTCACCGTGCCGCCATTATGCACTTCTCGACAGACTGTGGTAAGTTTCTCTAAACCACGTATGAAACCAAATTTTGGCATTTCAGCAGAAAATAATAATTCGAATAACTTAATATTGTTGTTCAACATACACTCCAGTTGTTTTTGTGTCTTGAAATACCGAATAGCAGAGGGCTAACCTGACCGAGTTGAAAGCTAACGTTAGCTCAAATGTGCTCCTACATTAAGTTACCTAGGCTACCTAGCTAACATCAAACTCCACAATGTGGGCAAGAGAGGTCAATGTGGAGGACTGACAGTGTTGTATTGTTTTCAATGTCCATAGATGACAGTAAAATAGCAAATACTGCATGTGTGGGGAGTTGTGATATTATCTGGGACAAACCTTCCCTTTGAGTGCATGGGCCCTCCTACAAGGATTCACTTTAAAGCCAATTAGTTTAATTTAATAGTTTATTTTTTGTCTGTTAAACTGAATAAGCACTTTTCAAAGTAACGTGAGTGTTATATTGCTGTCTACATTTATATTCAGTCATTTTTAATGTGTGTTTGACAAAAGCTAGTTAGTGTTAAATTTAACTTCAGTGTTGTCTCAGAATGAATTGTGTTGTAGGTCATAATGTGATTTCACTTTTGCTGTTTTTACAGATACCATCACGTGATTAAAATAAAAATCGTCTTTTCACAGTTGGAAAAATCTGCGTTGGCCAAGAAACCTGGTGGAGACCATATTGTCAAGGAACACAACCGGACATAAGGTGACTGAAACTCTGAGGTAATTTAGATATCTTTTCTTCAAGCACATCTGTTCTTCTACGCTTGTGTGAAATATATATATATATATATATATTGTTTTTTAGGACTGTACTTAACTCAGAACTGTGTCTGTTAAATTGGATGTGGCTGTTCAATATGAAGAATTTCAATTTCAATCCAACAAAATTTAAAGTTGATCTGATGAAGTCCCTAGGAGGAGTTCGTTAAAGTATAGCGACTAGAAATAGGCCAAAATCTATTGAAAAATGACACAAAAATCTAAATGTTCGACTTCCGGTAAGGTTTAGAGCATGGTCCCAAGAGACTTATTTGTAAGTCTCTATAGGATACATCTGCCTACCAACTTTCATACATGTAGCTGAAACGTAGCGCTGGGGCTGCTCTTTTGAAATATTGTAGGGGGCGCTATAGAGGCAATTTAAAACGACCAAGCCAAAAACCTATATACACTGTCTTCCTATGACCTATGACACATGTACAAAGTTGCATGAGTTTTTGAGCATCCGAAGTCAGTAAACCATCAGCTTCCTTTTTCATGGCGAACGATGCATCGCCACGGCAACAGCGTTCAACGAAAACTCAAAAAATTCATGATGATGCATCATCAATGTCTTAAGGCTATCCTTACCAAATTTTAGACTCATCAGGTCACCTGGCTAGGAGGAATAATTAAAAGTATAAAATATGACATTTCCTTTAGCCAGTATGCGGCGCTATGAATTATTTAATTTTTTTCAATTGCAGTATGTTTAGGCTTGAAGTAGCATCATGCAAAATAAGTTTTGTGCAGATTGGATAATGTACCTTGGAGTTATAACAATTTATAAGAACTTATTTTTTCATAAACAATGAGGCAAAATGGCCGCCACGCCACGTCAAGGTTCTTTGATGAAAACTCTCGATTTTGATAACTTTTAATCACAAAGGTCTTAAGAGCATCCTGACCAAAGTAGAAGTTCATCGCTTAAAATCTGTAGGAGTTCGTTAAAGTGCGAAGGCTGAAATCTGCAAAAAGTGACAAAAAGCATAACTTCGAGGGTTTACTGTAGCGCCCCCTAGTTGTTGAATGCAAAATAAATCTCAGGGTATGTTAGAGGATGCAATGTGCACATATGCTGAAAATCTGGAAATTTTAGGACAAACGGTTGAGAAGTTATATGTATTGATATTAAGCCACGCCCCTAAGAAGTTTATTGGTACATATCTTGTAAACGAAAAGAGATATCAAAAAGCTTTTGATAACTTTTGATGACGTAGATCCAGTAATGAACCACAGCAAATTTGGTAGCAATGGGCTAAAGCATGTAGGAGGAGTTCACAGAAATGTGTTTTACACTAAATTCAATATGGCGGAAAATCTAAGTAGGCGGAGCTTAGGGGTCTGATTGGCTTTTTTCTAGCTCTAGCTCAAGTGGACATGTGTCAAATTTCATGTCAATCGGACATACTGGCCGAGGGGCGTCGCCGGTCTGACTTGTAGGGGGCGCTAGAGAGCCATTTCTTAACACAGAAAGATGCATTCTTTTTCAGATGGCTATATTCACCAGGCCTGACAAGTCCCCAAAATTTTGGTGAGTTTTCATGCATGGCAAGTCCTCCAACCATGCGTACGTTTACCCAAACGGGTACAATATCAATAGGGCCTTCGCGGCCCGACGTTGTCGGTAGCTCGGGCCCTACTAATACCCCTTAAAGTTTCAATAGGGCCTTCGCTGGCCCGACGTCGGTTGCTCGGGCCCTAACGACAACCCTATGAATTTAGTTTTTCTCAGTTTTCCCAGCAGCAGTACAATTGTCTGAAGGCAGCAGATAATCAGAATATTTAAAGCCAAAATAACATCCCAACTCTTTCAGTGGCCAATCAGATCTTAGTTTGAATTGCTTGGTAGATTGCAGATGATAGCGAAGTTTATTCTAAGGTGAAACGGACATGAATTGTACTCGGATGTGTGTATCCTCTAAATGTACTGTAAACACACAGTTTTCAGTGTTTACAGACATTGTTAAGATTGTACTATTCTAAATATACCATGTCTTTTAAGAACAATGTCTTTTTTCCATCTTTGAAACTTAAAGTGAGGTTTAATTGTTGTACAATGTAGCACAAATGGGAGTTACACTTGCATCTCTAAACTGATAATGAAAAATTGTATGCAAACTAAATGTTTTTATTTTTAATAAATTGTTATTAAGATATGGATATAATGGTGTTTGTTTTTTCCCCTGCAAACATTTTTTGTTTTATTGTTTGAAGTGTCAGCTGACATGGTAAAGTAGAAAATGCAAAACTCTTAAAAGTGTTCTGTTGAAGAGTTAAAAAGGAGTAAATTGAAAATAAGGTGTTGGGTAAGAATTACACTAAGAGAGTAAATATGTTTTAACACTGCAGGAGTCAGTTAAACATCAACACTGTATTTAGAGTAATTTCTTAAACACTTGGTGTCAAGTAGGTCCAACACTCATGAAGAGTAACTTAGAGTTAATTTTGATTAACACTCAAAAAGACCAAGTGTCAAATTTAAATAACACTACGAGTGCTATTTACATCATAGTGTCAAATTTGAGTAACACTTCTCAGTGTAGTGTAGTGTAAAATATTAACTCTAACCAGAGTTAAATTGACTCTAAAAATGTAACACTATGTCCAGTGTAGCTTTAACACTCTGTAGATGGGCACCATATGTTCACTGAATCAGTTAAAATTGACTCTTTAAGTGTTTCATTGACACTGTCGATTTTACTGTGTACATTTATATTGAATATTGTATGAAATAGAAAAAAGAATTCAGCTGCAATTCAGCAGCATCTTAATAAAATCGTGTTTTTTATGGTTATAAAAAATAAATGATCCATTTGAGTTCAGTCAGTATGTATAACAAGGTATTAATAATAAGTGAAAGTTTGAATTAACTTTAAGATCATACTTGAAAATATGAAAAATACACAACTGTAAAAACATTATAATCCAACTTTATTCAAACTTGTTTGTACAAAAAGAATTTAGTCCGTAAACAAATAAACAGGAAGTGATTCTTCACATGCGACAGGTGTCGTGAAATGCCTCCAGGGTCCTAAAGTCCCTCCATGTTGGAGGAAGTCCGTCCTGCAGGAAACGACCACAGCGCTGACAGGAAGACTGGAAGAGTTTAATGTAGCTCCGCAACCAGGTCTACAGAGAGACAAGACAGGTAGAGTTTAATGTAGCTCCGCAACCAGGTCTACAGGTCACCATAAAGGACCTGACCACCACGTCGGGCATCTGAGGTAGATGTCTCACCATAAAGGACCCGACCACAGACAGACAGACAGGTAGGTGTCTCACCATAAAGGACCTGGCCACAGACAGAGACAGGTAGGTGTCTCACCATAAAGGACCTGACCACAGACAGGTGTCTCACCATAAAGGACCTGACCACAGACAGACAGACAGGTGTCTCACCATAAAGGACCTGACCACCACGTCGGGCATCTGAGGCAGCTGGTAGTGTAGCAGGGCGGTGGAGGCGTGGTCAGTTACCTAGCAACAACACAACCAGTCAGAGCGCTGCACACTCAGTTCAGGAATTCAGGTGAGAATGGGGGAATCTTACCTTTTGGAACACCTGGTACTGAGACTTTGTCCAGATGTCCAGCTAAGGAAGACAGACAAGTGAATATGGAGATACACTGGTATCAAGGGTTACCTCTCTGGTAAATTTGACCTTTGACCTTGTCCCACCTTTCCATCCTCATTGTAAACATTTTCGTTAAATCCTCGTACGACGGTTCTATCAATGAACAGGGAACGCATGACAACGATCGCCTTCAACACCTTCCCCAGGGTCACCTGAGAGGGAGACACACCCGTTAACCTGGTCTAAACACACCCGCTAACCTGGTCTGAAACACACCCGCTAACCTGGTCT